TGAAGATTTGGAGACACTATCTTTATGGAGAGAAGTGTTATATTTTCACGGATCATAAGAGCTTAAAGTATCTCCTGACCCAGAAGGAGCTTAATTTGAGACAACGGCGCTGGCTAGAGCTTCTGAAGGATTATGATTGTGTGATTGATTATCACCCTGGTAAAGCTAACATTGTAGCGGATGCTTCGAGTCGAAAGACGGTATCGAAGTTGAGATCTTTAATGGCCAGGATGAATTTATATGATGATGGCACTTTGTTAGCAGAATTGCAAGTTAAGCCGACCTTGGTTGATGAGATCAAGGCTAAGCAGCCCTTTGATAGCTCCTTGCTTCCCATCTTTGAGCAAGTAGAGCAGGGGACAAGCTCAGATTACGCCCTTGACCGGGATGAAGTTCTATGCTTCAAAGGTCGGTATTGTGTGCCTGATGATGCTGAGTTGAGACAGACTATCCTTACTGAGGCTCATAGTAGTCCATATGCTATGCACCCCGGTGGAGATAAGATGTATCGGAATTTGAGAGAAAGGTATCATTGGATCGGCATGAAGAAGGACATCTCAAATTTTGTAGCGAAGTGTTTGACTTGTCAACAAGTTAAGGCAGAACATCAACATCCATCAGGTTTGTTACAGCCTATTAAGATTCCTGAATGGAAATGGGAGCGTATTACTATGGATTTTGTTACTAGATTGCCTATGACTCCTTCGAAAAAAAAGATTCAGTTTGGGTGATTGTTGACAGACTTACAAAGTCAGCTCACTTCATTCCTGTGCGAGTAAATTATACTTTGGACAAGCTGGCAAGATTGTATATTTCAGAGATTGTTAGATTGCATGGTGTTCCATTGTCTATTATTTCTGATCGAGATCCGAGATTTACTTCGAGATTTTGGAAGGCACTACATACGGCTTTGGGAACAAGATTGGATTATAGCACATCCTTTCACCTACAAACTGATGGTCAATCTAAGAGAGTGATTCAGATACTTGAGGATATGTTGCGGGGTTGCGTAATCGATTTTCATGGTAGCTGGGAAAAATTTTTGCCTTTGGCTGAATTTGCTTACAATAACAGTTATCAGACCAGCATTCGTATGGCACCCTATGAAGCACTCTATGGGCGTAAATGTCGCACTCCGATCTGTTGGACTGAGTTGCGTGATAGGAAAACGTTGGGACCTGAGTTAGTGCGAGAGACGGAGGACACAGTCAGATTGATACGTGACCGTTTGAAAGAGGCATTTGATAGGCAGAAGTCTTATGCAGATCAGAGAAGGAAAGATATACAATTTGAGGTTGGAGATCAGGTCTTTTTGAAAGTTTCACCCTGGAAGAAAGTATTGAGATTTGGGCGTAAGGGTAAATTGAGTCCAAGATTTATTGGACCATTTCGTATCTTGAAGAGGGTAGGACCTGTTGCATATCAGCTTGAGTTGCCTTCTGAGCTAAGTCGTATTCATGATGTCTTTCATGTATCAATGTTGAGGAGATACTATCCAGATCCAAGTCACATTATTCAGGTTGAAGAAGTAGAGCTGAGACCTGATTTGTCATATGAAGAGGAGCCCATTCAGATCTTAGAAAGAGATGAGCGAGTTCTTCGGAATAGGCGTATTCCAATGGTCAAAGTTCAGTGGAGTAATCGTAGCCCCTCAGAAGCTACTTGGGAGACATTGGAGTCAATGGAGACTCAATTTCCTCATCTATTTTCATAAGGTAAATTTCGAGGATGAAATTTATTGTAGAGGGGGAGAATTGTAACAACCCGGAAAAATTTAGAATAATATTAAATTGAAATTGGAGGTTAATTGTGAAAATTGGTAAATTTTTTTGGGACTAAATTGAAATATTTTAAAACTTGGAGCTTGTTTTAGAGTTAAAGGAAATTCAGGGACCAAGCCCTAAATTTATCCTAAAAGTGTCGGCAGCTTTGGTGATTTAAGCGTGTTTCTGGTTTCAAATCAGAAACCACAAATGTTAAATTGCTTAAGTTTTTCTCCTCCCGTACCCTTACTTCCAAGCCCGATTCCGACGCCGTTCGACGTCCAATCGTAAAATTGAAAACACCGTTGTGTTCATCATCAAGCGAGGAACAAACCCTTCAAATTAATTGAAGTGAAACGCTGTCAAACGTTGGGAATTTTCAGTCAAAGCATCGTCGTTTTTTTTAGCTCTATCGCCGGGAAAAACTTAAATTCACCGCCGATCGTTGTTCCGTTTACGACACCTCCTGCATCATCGTGTTCCTTGTGTCGTTGCGAGTCCGCCGGTGTCAACCTTGTTCGCCGTCGACGGCGGCGCGTGAGGAGGTGGAGCAGTCAAAGATTCGGCCGAGTTGAAATACGAGCTCTCCGCCGTTCAAAAATTTGAACCGATCGTTGTAAGTATCTCGAAATCGCTCAAAATAATTTTTAGAAATTTTTCCTGGAATTTTCCGACACCGTGGCACTGTTCACGCGCCGCACGCGCCGCCGCAGGGAGAGTGAGCTGCTGGAAAATCGGTTTGACCAGTTTGACCGGTTTGACCGGTCTGAACCGGGTTGACCCGACCCGACTGTTGACCCGACCCGACTGTTGACCCGACACGACCGTTGACCCGACCCGACCGTTGACCGTTGACCGTGACCGTTGACCGTGACCGTTGACCGTTGACTTTCTTTGACTAAAACTTAAAATGGCTTTGACCGACCCTTAAACGACCGTAAATCTTTTCCGAGTATACCTATCCTGATAGTTTTCGACGTGCCAAATCCATTTCCGCAGTCCGTTTCGCAAAATTCAAACCTGAAGGTCTTCAAATCGACGGTCAAAGTGGTTGACTTTGACTTTGACCAAGAATCTGAATTTCCGAAAAAGTCATACTTTATATTTTTCGACGTCCTGATTCCGTTTCCGCAATCCGTTTGGCCAAATTCAGACTCGAAATACCCCAAATTGATAGTCAAACTCGAAAAATGCTTATACTTAAGAAGACTAGCTTTGAACAATTAAATAGGATTTGAGACTGATAAATATTATTGTTTGAAGGTACAAGAGACTCTCCGGATCGTTCGACAGCTCGACCCAGCTCTTCTAGATCAGTTAAACCACGTGTGCCAGTATTCACCCGTTCGAAAATTGTAGCAGAGCGTGGTGAAACCAGCAATCAGTAAACTTGCTATTTGAACCTATTGTCGAGGTGTGTTCCCTACTTGTTATTGAACTGTTTTATTGGTTTTAATACGTGGTACACCGAATTCATTGGCTATTGTTTTATGGATGCACCAATTTAATGTGACAATTTATGGAATATGGCTGCTATCTAATTTTTGTTTTGAAATGGTATATGATTATCATGTTTTTGGATTTATGGAATTTATGTCACGGTGCAATTGAATTTTGGAATTGAAATACGATGGAATAGCTCTGATCAAGCTAACTGGGCCTAATGTGACTCTTGAGGGCCCCAAGATGTTTCATTAGGTCGGCTTTCCTTTGCTGTGTGCTTAGGGTAAGCTATATGGACTTATTGACTTGGGCTTAAGGATACAAGCTTCAGAGCCTATCCTTAAGTCGGCTTTCTTTTTGCTATGTGCATAAAGTAAGCTATATGGAAAATAATTTTGGGAACTACTGATGGTGTACCAGAAAAGGGTTTAAACTATGATTTTCAAAAAGTTAAACTCTTTTACGAATTTGTGAGATTACTGGACTATGATTTGTACCTATTGTGATTTTATGGAAATGTTGGGACACACTGAGCCTAGCTCACCTTTTGAAAATGTTTTCCCCCTTTCAGATACTGTTGGTTAGATACCTTGGTTCGAGCACTTGGAGGATCAACATATCTCTTGAAGTAAATCAAATTGTAATGTTTTTATCTGGCAAGTTGACTTTATTTTGGTGACATGGACCTTATTTTAAAATATCAGATTTTATAATGATAACTATTTTGTTAATACTGCTCGGTTTATGGTGATATTGAATTTGAAGACGTGTTTTAAATTAAATTATTATTTATTGGTACTATATTTACGAGTTGGATTTTGATAGTATAATTTGTTTATAATTTCATGTTATTTATAATGTGATTTTATATTGATGGAATAACGGTTTCGAAAAATGTCTTTAATAATCATAATGTGATCCACTAGACTTAGTCGAAACCCATAGGCCGGGTCTAGGGGGTTACAAAAATAATTTTGACAAAATTAAATATGTCACAATAATATAAATTTCTTGTAGTTATATAATTAAAAAATAATAATATAAAAAGAAGTATTATTATAATTATCCTTAAATTTATAATGTATAATTATATTATTTTTGGGTTAGTACAAGTCAATTATTTTTCACCAAAAATATTAATTCGACCCGAACTTATACTAAAAAATTTCGACCCAATTTTTCACAAAATAACCCGTCGATTTTGAATCCGATACCCATCCCTCCTTAAACCAGCTTGATATTAGTCTTTCAAAAGCTAAATTTAGGTATTTAAATAATTCGGAATTAAGATCAATCTTTTTATGTGCAAAAGGATAGTGATACAATTAAATAAAATAACAACTAAGCACATGCATTGGTGACTTAATTTTTAATTCAAAAAGCCATTTCAATAATGCTAAAATCCATAAGACTTTGAACATCAAAGCTAACACTTATCATTGTTTATATATTTTTAGGTTATACGTATGATCCCTTATGTTTTCGGTTCGTGCAATTTCAGTTACCAATTAAAAAAACTGGTTTTGGTCATTTACATTATTAGTCCGTATGATTTTATTCTCTCAAATTGACAAATAAAAAAAATTCACGTATTTTATTTTGGTAATTAAAAACAATAATAAAAATCCACGTTAATCTTCCTCCTCCTTTAAATCCACACTCAGTTTCTGTAAACCAATAAAAAAAACCATACCAAGATTTCTTTACTCTCAAAACTGACCAGTTTCTATAGTTGGTATTTCTTTATAAATATGCTTAGAGATAAGCGTCTTTGAATCCCCGTTGAACCATATGATGCGCCATGGCTTTATCACATATGTTTCTCTCCACTACGTTCGAAAACAGTGCTTGGTTCCTATAGCTTTCCAGGATTACAGGACCCTTGAAGTAACTGGTTTAGTTAAAAGACCTGTGAAGTTGAGCATGCATCAGCTCGTGAACAAGTCTCAAAGCCTTGAGTTCTCGGTTTCCTTAGTTTGCGCTGTTAACAGACATAAAGAACAAAACAAGGTGAAACAAATGATAGGTTTCAACTGGGTAGCTGCTGGGGTTTCCACTTCGTTGTGGAGAGGTGTAACGTTGTTTGGTGTGATCAAAAGAAGTGGGATCTTTGGAAAGAAACATGGCCTTCTCAATGTGTGCTTTGAATTGACTGAGGATTTGCCTGGTGGCGGCGGATCCAAGTACGACTTCATTAGAGGGAGAATGATGGAATTGTTGAAGAGAATTGTCGTAAAAGATAATAGAATACTTCATTCCCATCTTGATGCAGAAGTAGCCAACGCTGAAGGTAATTAATATTAATCTATAATTTTTTTATGGAAAAGTATTTGCATTAAGGAAAATGCCTGTAATGATATGTACGATAATAACCTGTCAACTCAAGTAACCCTAAATTAGGGTTTTGCTAAAAAAAATCTGTATAGATTTCAACAAGATTATAGGCGTTATAAAGATAATAACTTGTAAGATAAATAATATATAAAAATATGAAACGAATCGATAACTAAGAATGAAGAAAAACGAAGATGAAAATTTCCCTTAGTATGTATGATGATGGAATGAATGGGATAATAGTTTGGAGATTGGTGTGGATGATGATAATGATGGAAAAGGGTCCTAAACACCTCTTAGTTGCAATTGATTAGGCAACTGCTATAATAGGCTCTAATCAACCCTTCTAACCACAATTAGATAGGCAACCCAAAGTGTGGATTCCTCTCTCACGTTGAACTTATAGAACTTCATGATGAAGAAAACTTCGAAGGCACATGATAATCAGCCCTTGCAAAAATGTACTTATGTTGTATTTATTTATTAATTAAGAAAAAGGTGATTTTATGTTGTGTGATTTAAGTGTTCTCAATTTGGTTCAAATATATACGTCGCAATTATAATATAGATTAAGATTATCTCCATATGGATTGGTGCACTTCGATTATTGATTCCGTTACTGCAAAGGAACAATTGAATTTGTATGAGACCAAATGAAACTAAAACAAGTAGAAAAATAAAGAAAACAATTGTCACTACAAGTCAACTGCAACTAGAATGTAATGTCTTCCAAAGTGAGTTATCATAGCAAGTACACTAAATAACAAGTTACAGTTGAGATGAAAGGCAGGGTTTTGAGGTTATGCTGATACTCCTAGCTGAAAATGCCCACGATATTTTGTGACAATCTGAATGCTCAACAGAGTTATCGTTAATTCTTTTCTGACTAAGTCTAGTAGAAAGTCTATGCATATATTGCCTTTGGCAATACAAATCTGTATCAACCCAAAGAATAAAATCGTTTTTAGCTCTCACTCCTTTAAGTTGCTTGAATTCTTCTCCTTAAAGAGAAAGATTAATTCTCATTACTCTCGTAATTGAAAACATGCATTCATTGATTCAATCAATAACATAAGAAGAACAGTCCCAAGTTAACTAATAAACTAAGCATTCATTTCCAAATAACTTAATCATAAATAAGCATACCAATCAATTAATGAACATTCAAAAAAGGATTTAACCATGCATAGATATGATCTACCGTTTACAAAAGCATAAATCTCAAAACGCACACCAAATAAGATTAGTTCATGGCGAGGTGAATATCATTTTTATAAACCATCCAACACATCAAATTAATCAAGGGAAAATAAAAACTAGAAAACTAAGAAGAATGTCTTCGATGTCCTCTAGTAGCCATTAGAGAGTTGAGCGAAGAAGAGTCTAAATTGGCTTAGGATTTTTGGTAACACCGTTGGTCTTCTACAGTGGACGTATGCCTTGCTTCATGGAGGAGATAAGGTTTCCAAAATTTTAAAAACCTTATCTTATATTCTCTTAAATTAGTTGTTCCTTATTTTGAACTCCTAGTGACTAGGTCAAATTATTCAGCTAGGTCGAGTTTAAATCTGGTAAAAGTTTGTTCCTCTTGACATGGCATTTCTTTTCCTCTGAACGCCAACGACATCTTCTACCCACAACATATCCTGCTTCTCAATCTACCCCACGATATTACCTGCTCCCTCAACACCTACACGACCAAACAACACACCACAACAACATCTCACCACAAAAGATAGAAAAAAATGAAATGAAACAAAAACATATGCTTGATGCATGAAAATGATAAATATGAAAAAGAAAATATGCTTAAGTACAAGCTAACGTTCACCTAAAGGAGCTTAAATATCACCCTTTTACAAATTTATCACACCCTAACTTGAATTATTGCTTGTTCCCAAGCAATGCATGACATCACTTGCCCATGACATTTCGAATAACAAACAACTACACAAGCCCTACATCTTTCACCTCAGAACCTTGAAAAAATGCACAAATAACTTTCAAATCTCAAGACAACAAGAAATCAACTCAAATTAATTTATGATGTGTGTGCATGTGTGTTCTCTATATAGTTACAATTTCACTGGGATGGGTATTTTCAAAGAATATCATAATTATCAAAATTAAATAAAGTAGCAACTATCAATTAGTTGTCCTAAGGCTTCAGCTCACCACAATATCCGCCAGTATTTGAGAAATAAGATAGTGCAACCAACGAACCCCCTATCCCTTATGGAAGATTCATCATGTGAAGACTTTCATTCACTCATGCTATGTTAGGCTATCTTTCCTACTCAACATTCACTAAGCGTATAGGATTTGACTTAGTAGCGAAGTGTCCTAGCGCTAAAAGTTTTTCATGAATTTATTCGACTAGATCCAGTGAGAAATCTCTAGCAATTTATTTAGAAATAATATTTTTTAATGAAAATAACATAGCAAGTATGGTAACTAACATTCTTCAAAATCCCCACAAGTCAACCATGAATGATATCAAATAAATAACTATTGTATCCTAAAATCATCAAGTCAATTTCCAAATTGTCCCTACATCCTAGAGTTCTCGACATTAAAATACCTTCGGTAATTTCTCATCATCAGTACATGTAAAGTCTTCGCAATTGTGTAATTATACAACACTCATAGAAAGTGTGTTCTACAATGCATAATAACACAAAAAAAAAAAAAAAAAAAAAAATAACACAATAACACAAAATAACAGACAACACCCCCTAATTTAATAAGAATCATTATCCTCAATGCATGGTTATGATGATAGCAAAAAAAAATGTAAGCATGAAACACTAAACAAAATGAAAAACAAAAATAAATTTGAAATGGTAGATTTCAGCAAACTGAAGGTGAAAATCCACCTATACATCATACTCTGGGTGATGGTTCTTGAGATTCTGCAGACAATGAGACTGTTGGTAATGATAATTCTGTAGTGAATCGAGAGTTACTTCGTTATCTCCGTTAGGCATAAGGTGCTAGGAAACCTATTTTGACCTTAGTCTTGGCATGAATTAGTTATCCGTATCTATTTTCCTTCAAATAATTTCGAGGTCAAAATTTTCTTTAAGGGGAGAGAGTTGTAACACCCCAAATTGAAAACCATAGAAATTGATAATTTTTTTCAATCCCTAATTTGAGTTTAAGACCAAATTTAAACTGAAGAAAATTGTGGGTGCTTAATGTTAATTTTTGGTAACAATTTTGTAATAGGAGTAAAACTTTGGGATACTTTGTGAACACTCAAAATAGCATGGACTTATGCTACGATTTACCCATTTCTTTTTATTTCAAAATCCCCATCCCCTTTATCTTCATGCGGCCATGCCCCTGTTGCTTTCTTTTCCTTCTTTTTCTTTCTTTCATTTTCCCCTCGTGTGCCACTTCTCTACACCTCTAAACTCATTACCGTTCACAATAGAAAACCGCCGGACAAAACCAATCGTCACCTTCTTATCGTGTTTTCTTTCTATTATGGTCGTTAATTGCCTCACACGATTTCGGTAAGGAACTGAAAACCCTCATCGCACAACCACTGTCAGATTCGTTCACGGTAGTTATGGCCATTCACACAATTAGACATCCCGTAGAGTGGCCACACCAGACGGTTAGGGTCGTTCATCGTTTCATTTGGCAGGGGTTTTCGATAGCCCCCTTTTATTTCTTTTTCCCAAATCGACAGGCCCATAATTGAATTGAAACCCCATTTCAGGTTCCCCTTGTACCAAATCGGGAATTGTTATAAACTTCGTTTAAATGTTTCGTTAATTAAAAGTAATTGAATGGGATTTTAATACGAACGTCATATTTTTGCAAGAGACGTCGATCCGAAATATGAGTTAATGCCTTCTCTACAGTTACCAACTCACTTTGAACCGACTCGGGTCACTAGAATCGATCGTGAGTTGTTGTGAAAAATAGTAAATTTGATTTGATTTCGTTACCTCGATAAAATAGTAAATTATTTTTAATTATTTTGTAGGAGCCGATTCAGTCCAACCCACTGTTAGAATTGATTGCGGGAAATTTCACATTCGTCGTTAGAATTATTTTGCCAAAGTGTGTCTATGTTCGGTGCCTACATAATGACTACCGATTGCGCAAGGAATCATGAAGCTACCTAGATCTTTCATTTTTGGTGGAAATCGGTTATTCAACATTACCATGCAACCTTCTGTTAGGGCTACCATCTCGAAATCACTCAGCCTGGTTCGCTTGAAAGCAATGTCTTTGATGAACTTGGCATAATTAGGAATCTGCTCAATTGCCTCCACCAATGACAAGTTAATGTGAACTTGCTTCAGAATGTCAAGAAATTTTCTATATTCACTACAGCAAAATAGGTTTTTTGCGGCCTTTTTTTTACCTTTAGTGGCGTTTATAAGCGCCGCAAAAAATACATGCGGCGTTAAGACAAACGCAGTGAAAACCGCCGTTAAAAATAGCGCCGCTAAAGTTCGCGGCGTTTTTAAACAAAAAACGCCGCAATAGGTATTGATATTTAGCGGTGTTTGAGTGACAAACGCCGCAATAGGTGTTGATATTTAGCGGCGTTTTTAAGATAAACGCCGTAATAGGTTATGATATTTAGCGGTATTGTTTTCTAAAACGCCGCAGTAGGTGTTGATGTTTTGCGACGTTTTTCCACAAACGCCGCAGTAGATGTTGATGTTTTGCGGCGTTTTTTCCATAAACGTCGCAGTAGGTTTTGATGTTTTGCGGCATTTTTCTCACAAACGCCGCAATAGGTATTGATTTTTTGCGGCATTTTTGCTAAAAACGCCGGTAATGTTCTTTTTATAGCGGCGTTTCTAGGATACAAATGCCGCTAAATGTATGGTATATTGCGGCGTTTTTTGTTATAAACGTCGCTAAATAACACAAAATTAACATTCCTACAAATTATGCTTGATTACCCCAAAACTATTTTTTCAACCTGTTCCATTATGCAACAAACAAAACAATAATAACATCAAACTATATATCCATAACAAACAACATCAAATCCAATATAATAAATAAAAGTTTTCATTAACGTAATATAAGTTCAGTTAAACAAGATTCAGTAGAATGCTCATAACATAAATGAGACTACGATGGTGGATTCTGAGGTTGCGTTTTCTGAATCATCAGCATCATATCATTGAGTCGTTTTCAAATTCTTCACATCTCTGTTGATATGCTGCTTCTCTCTGTGATGCCCCTACTTCTCTCTGTGTTACCGCTGCTTCTTTGTTTGCTTCCGCTGCTATTCTGGTTGCTTCTTCTGCTGCTCTCTCTGCTTCCCTTGCTTTATTTTTCTCTTTCAAGTTAGCCATTTATTGATCCATCTCAGCCAACTTTTCTTTTAAACGACAAACTTCTTGGTGGGAAGATCGAGACTGTGATGACATGTACTGTGATGAACTGGATCCAAAATATTTGGTAGGAGTAATGAATGATCCTTGACAGCGAACCCGACCATATCTTTTAGGACCCAAAACGTCATTAATAGCTTGGTTTTCAATGTCATCATCATTAACAATACCTTGACTCGAAGTAGTAACATGATACTCCGCCTTTTTCTCCCTCAATTTTTCCTAATAAAGTGAATAATTAATTAAAATAAAAAATATCATTCTACAAATATAAATAAAGTCAGGTAAATTTAAAACATCTACCCAAAAAACGTACCATAATTTATGCAGCGTCAGCAGTCATAGGAGTGCCATCCTTCTTCGTATGTGTTATGTCGAAGAGTTGGATTCGACCAAATTTAGAACCGGATGTATTTTCCAACAATGTACCATAATATAATTACTATGAGTTAGTATGTACATGGAAAATATCGCAAAAACTATTTCAATAATCTATAATACCTCCTCATGAGCTATACAAGCAAAACTCTTCGATCCAGTCGTGTGCGTAAACTTTTGTTGTTGCCTTCTAGCAACACAAATATGCTCTCGGTCCTACAATGTCGAACAACCACGTTTAATGATGATTTACAATTCGTTACAATTATTTCTGAAAAATACATCATACATGTCCTTTTTATGAACTCCAAAATCTGATTGCATCTTCCCATTGGTACCTGAGCATTCCTAGTGGGACTGTTTGCAACTTATCTTCAAGGCTGAGATCATTCTTGAAGTATTTCTTCTTTAAGGAGCTCTTGTGATCCCTCCATCTCTTCCCTAACGTTTGCTTCACATAATCATCAGAGACCTCTAAAGAAAATTTCTCCTATACAGCAAATAAGTGTGCACCGTAAATATAAATTAGTATTGAATTTCTATAGAGTATGTATTATAATGACATTATTACCTTAACAAAATCCAACGCTTGATTTTTGTTACTATTAGGCATTTCGCGCCATGACTCGTAATTGATCGGTAGCAGATTTGCATTACGTCCAATTATGCCTAAGTAACCTGCTAGAAGACGTGATTCTGGGCCAATAGGTTGACATGCATCGTTTCTTGAAACTTTGACACGATGCCCAGGAGGAAGTTGGTATAATTCCTTCAAAGTTGTACGTCCTCGAGTCTTGCGTGTTCCAGCATTTTCAACTATATAAGAAATTATTAAATGTCAGTTTTAAAATTGAACAAAGTAGTAAATAATGTTTCGAAGATTACTTTGAATTTCTACGTCTTCTTCAACAATTTCCGGAACTTCGGAAGACTCAGGTGCATTCGATTCCTCGTTATTTCTTTCTTCATGGTCTTCAGAAGCTCGAACAACCCGCAAATCATTTATTTTTCTCCTCGGCATGATATCTATAATAAACAAACATGAGTAATAAAAAAATGAATTAATTAATGAATATATTGAAAGATAACATGTTAAAGGTTATAACATTATAAATAAATAAATAAAGATATAAAATCGTACAAAAGTCTTATATAATGTCAGTTGTCATAAATATCTTCATCAACATCCTCCTGAACCCATTGAAATTGTGTTGTATTAATGATAGTTTCATCTAAGTTTTGTGGTAGTAGAGGTAAACTTTCTGATCTTGTTTCAATGTCGTTCTACTTCCATCCCTGATGTCTATCAAGTCTCTGGGAGTATTTTGAAGCACAACATACCAACCGTCATCCATTGGATCGTGACAATAAAATACTTGTTTCACTTGAGAAGAAAATACATATGGTTCATCCATCAAACGTTGACCCGTGTGAATTAATCGAGAGAAATTCATCATTATAAACCCGAATTTATCTATTTTTATACATTTGTTTACATCAACCCAGTCACACCGAAACAACATAACCTTTCGTTTTCCATAATAATCTAACTCAATAATATCCGTAAGATTTCCATAATAATCGACCTCTCCCTCATGCGGATTATTGTCCTTTACAGTAGCATAACTTGTAGTTGACGAAGTAACTACTACTCCACAATTTTGTCTCCTTCTTAATCTTTCATGAGATTTCGTGTGGAACCTGAACCCATTAATGAGGAAGGCATTATATCTTTTAACTATTCTATTCGGACCTTGAGAAAGCCATTTAACTTCTTCACTAACTTCTCTCCCACTCCAAACCTATTACACATGAATGGTGAATTAATTTGTATTAACGTCGATATAAAAAGCAAGACATATATAATTTATAAGTGTTTCGTAAGATTTAGTTGCTTACCGTCTGGCCTAACCATTCATGAAAAGTTTCTGTGAATAACTTATGTAGCTCTCGTTGATTTAATCTTCGGGAGCGTTCTCGAGATCTCAATACTTCTTTAAACTCACTATAAAGAATATTATGTCGTTAAAAATGGATAAATATAAAAGATAAAGAGATTTCATTAGGATTGGGTCCGAAAGACTTACGTACAAAAGGGATCTATTGAATTGTGATGGAAAAGAACATATCGGTGTGCTTGTACCCAAGACATGTCATCTAAGTGTGCAATTTCAACTTTCCCTAATGGTTGACCATAACTTCCAAAGAAATAATGTTGAGGTAAGTCATAAGT